CCCCGCTCAGCCCCAAAAGCTCAGAGGGAGCAGTAACGGAAGGAGAGGTGGGTTTGGTTATTGTTTTCCTCTTTGTCACCCCTCCGGGCAGCCGCAGCCAGGGGTGACACCCATGGTGACACCCTCCCCATTGCGGTCCCATGCTCGCACGGGATGTGCTGGTTGCTCCTGGCACTTCCCACATCACAGGATTGATCCTCGGAGGCGTTTCCAAAAAGCCCTTCCAGAAAACTTTCTTTGCTCCGTTTTTACTTATTTAATGAATTAAAAGAAAAAAGCATAAGAGCTCCCTCTGCTGCCAACAGAAACTTGGATGGGAGAAGGATGAAGTCTGCGTTGCGCAGAGGCTGGCTGAGCTGGAAGCAGGGTCAGCCCAGCAGTGCTGCTCCAGATGTTTGCTGATGGTGCCCTTAACCACATGGGAGATTAAGAGATTTCTATCCAGACGTGCTAAAGGAAGGGCTGATTTTATACCCCAGGCTGGTAAACCCCCAGGGAACGTTGCACTTCCCACTGAGCCACAAACAGAGAGAAAAACCCCACAAGGGATGTTACCACTTTCCTCCCGCTGTGCTGAGGCTGCTCTTGCAGTAGTTGGGAGCAGTGGGATTTGGGACTTCCCCACTAGCAGCAGTGGCAGAGGAGCTCAGGGAGATCAGCCCATGTGTGGCTTGTGATGGCTGCTGAAGGAACCAGACCTCAGGTGTCAGGGCCAGATCCCCCAACCTTCAATCAGAGCTGTGCCATGCTCCTGCCCCAGCTACCACTGCCATGATTCGGTCCTGAGCTGGGCACGGAACAGGATCCAAGCAAAGTCCCCATCCTTTTCCCCAGATCCTAATTAAGCCAGAGAATGGTACAGGTTACCCAGAGAGGTGGTAGATGCCCCATCCCTGGAAGGAAGGTCAAGTCCTGAGCAACCTGATTTAGTTGAAGATGGTCCTGCCTATGATAGGGGGAGATGGACTAGATGAGCTTTAAAGGTCCCATCCAACCCAACCTATTCTATGATAACCCTGCAGTTTAAAACATAAGAAATCAAGAGCTCACTCACCCAAGAGCTGTGCAAAAGAGTGTTCAGTTTTTTCCTCATCCAAAGACATTTCAGGTGAGGTTTTGGGTCAGGATCTCTGCCCACAGCTGGGCTTGGGCACCTCCAGCCCAGTGGGCTTCCAGATGCTGGGAAGCGGGTGTGGAAGTTCACAAGACCAGAGGCAGTTTTTGGTGGGCAATTCAAATTCCTTCTGAAACAGAGTCCAGATGTGAGGGAGGGCTCCAATAAAAGCACAATACAACCCAGCTACTAGTTACAAGAAACTTAAATAGCTTTTTAAACCTCACAGCAGAGGGGACACAACAAGTGTGGAAGGTCCATGGGTAGAGGTTCTAATGGGGGAGAAGCCAAACCATAAAAAAAGGGCTGGACTCAACATCAGTACACTCAGCAGGAAACCATGAGTAACCACCTCAACAGCTAAACCCTCCTTTAATCTGGAAACATAACAGTAGGCAAAGGCAAGTGAGTTTGTCCTGTGGCAGAAGAGCTGAATGACTCATGTGCTCCAGCGGTTACTATGGAGTTGTTTACGCATTGCTTTGTGATTGAGAGAGAAAAATCAAGCTAAAGAACTCACCCAAAATGAACTAAATAGGAGGAGGTTTGCATAAGCTGGCAGCACGAAGAGGAGGAACTCAGCAGGCTTCTTCTAGGAGGAGTCCAAAGTGCTTAGGGATGAACCCACCGAGCCACCAAGTCAAAGCGACTGCTTCTGGTGCCAGATGGGTGGAAGGTGACAAGTGTGAGATGGGACTTTAGGGAGGTTTTTAGGGATTCTGGAAGGAATACGAGGAACAACAGAGCAGAAAATCCAACTCCCCTGTTGAGCAAACTCTTCAGACTTCCACAGATCAGGATTCACAGAGATAAGGAATAGCTGTAGAGCATCAATGTGGCTTTTGCCAAGGGAAGTCCATCTGACTATGCTTCCCTTCCCAAGCACCATTAGAGGGAAACCAAACATCCTCCCCTCTGTCTCAGGGACTCCAGAAACCTCTTTGATTTAAACCATACCCACCTTTTGGGGATGGCAGGCTTGCTCTGGCACAGACTGCTGGCCCTTGAAGTGTGCAGAGTCATTTACACAAAAAGGAAGCAGGATAACACAGAAAAACCCTTCTGCTTTTACTGCAGATAAAACCTGCACGTCGGATGCTTCACCATGCTCTGAAAGCCCAGGGGACAGCTGCAACATTGACACTGCTGTAGGATCTTGTCTTCAGGAGAGTCAAAATGAACTCTTTTTCCATGAACTTGGCCAGCTCCATTCACAGCCCTCACAGGCCTGCCACTGAGGATGCTGCTTAACAGCAGCATAAAACATGCCTAGCAGAGACCCAGTGCATCATTGAAAACTAAAACCCCAGGCAAGCAGGATGTTGTAATAGAGACACACAAAGTCCTGGGCTTGCAGGAACCTGCCCTCTAAAGAAACCCTCCTGCTATAAAAGCAAGTGGATGCTGAGCCTGGGCTTAAACAGGTGGAACTGTGTTAATCTGTGGAACTCTCGGCCACAGCACACCACAAATACTAACAGTTGGTGTGAGCTCAGGAAGGAATCCATCAAACTAATGGCAGCAAAACCCATCAGGTGACACAGAGTGAGCCACAAACCTGTGGATACAAAAGGTGTTCCTGGAAACAGGGCTGTGAGTTTGCCATTTCCACGCAGTCTTTGCAAGGCACACAGAAATAGCTGCTGCTCGAGGCAAGCCTTGGGTTTGACAGGTTCAGTCTGACCCAGAGATGCATTCTCGCAGATTCAAGACAGAGCTGGGAGCACACGTAACGTGCTGCAAGCCAAGGAAGAGGCTGTCCCCAAGTACCCAAAGGCAATGCTTCCCCCTGAGAAACAGGAGTGGAATCAAACAACTGAGCACTGCAGCCCATGGCTGAGCAGCAGGAACAGCACAGAATGTCCCCAGTGTCAGCTGCCCCAAACCATGTGCTGGTACACATGGAGAAGATAGGAAGGAACCCAGCTTGCTTTGGGTACACACGGGCGGATAACAATGGGCCCATGTGTCCTCTGTGGTATAAAAATGCTACTATCAGTGAAACAGAAATAGCATTTCCTTTCTCTCTTCTCTTCGCCTGTCTTATCAGGGCAGTGGGGAGGCTCTCTTTGCTGGGGGTTTGCAGGGTGGGGAGGGATGCCTGTTCCCATCTTGAGGCTGTCTGCACAGAAAGGCAGGCGGGAAGTGAGAAATTCCTTCCTGGAAGCAGCACTGGGTCCTGACCAACATCCACCCTCCTCGCCCGCATCCCCACTCCCTTTGGTCTTCCCAAAGGTCACTCCTCATTAGTCACTGCAGCTTTTTGTTTAGGAAATGCTAGTTGGGATGTCCTGTCCCGTGTGAGCAGGGCTGACCATGGCCTCTGCCAAGCAACTACAATACACCTTTCCCTGCAGCCCTCCCAGGCCCAGCAAGTCTCCAAGGAATTCATGGATGGGAAGACAGACAGGCTCCAAGAGCCCAGGGCCAGGTTGTCCATGCACACTCAGCATCCCCCCTCCAGCCTTCCCTGTGGTTCTCCCCCAGGGCAGGGAGCAGCACAGAGGGAAGGGGAGATGCTCCAGACAGAGCAAAACTGCCTCAGTAGCAGCAGAAAGGGACAGGTACTGCCTATGTCCAAAGAACAACAGAACAGCTCATCCCTGTATGGGAAGGATGAGGCTTTGTCCACCCCAAAACAGACAGCAAATGTCCCCCAGGGGCTATTCTGTCCCCAGCTCTGCTATCAAAGCACCCCACTGGCCCAAAACACTGTCATCCAAGGACTCAGAATGGCTCTTCCTGTTAAATAAGGATGATTTCAACCCCATCTTTCAGCTGTGCTTGCAACACCCAAGGTGTGCTTTGCTATTTCAGAGCAAAGTGTTTTATTATTCTTGGAGTATTTCTGCTTCTGTAAACCCTGAAAGTTCAGGCACCACCCAGGCCTGAGGTGGGGCCCCCATTACACAGCTAATGCTCAAGGAACTGCCTTAGTGTGGATTCCAGAGGCTTGTGAAAAAAGCACATTCAGAGAATTTCCCCATTCCGTGGCAACTCCCACTTCCTGCTCCACAGGAAAGCCCAGCACAGTGTGAGTGAAAATCAAACGAGACTCACACCCAAGTGGGGCAGTGATAAGGAATTTGGTTCCGATCCATGTAGAGAAATGCACTAAACTGCCAGCTTCTCAGGAGCTCAAAAGACTGAATGTTTGCCAAGAGGCTAAAAATAAGCCAGAGAAGGCTATATTTAAAGGCACATACTAATAAATGCCTCTGTCCTTGATGAAATAAACTGCAACTTTCAGAAAACCCCTCTATTTTCCAGCAGTCTAAGGGGAGTTTTGGCAGCAGGAGAACAAACAGTAAGCCCAAAGCTTTCAACACATCTATCTTAAAATTACCTCGTGGTTGGAGCTGTGCTAGAATCAGTGCTGTCCTTCCGATGGCAGCATCAAACTGGGGCTCGTTGGACTGGAGCAGAAAGGATTCCCATTGCACTTGTGCGTCCCCATGTGGCTGCAGCACCACCTTTACTTCCATGATCGGCTTCATTTTGCCTGCTCACATTCATTCCTTAGAAATAAATCATCTCCCTTTCATGTAAATGGGGCCCAGTTCTCACTATGTGGTGGCACAAGCATTTACAGTAGCACGCTGCCACCTGCCAGGGGGAGCTGGGCAGAGGGACCTCTGAGAAGCATCGCATCCACTTCACATGGGCCTTATAAGAGTATCAGTTGCTTCATCTCTGCACAACAACCACTTCAGCACACTTCAAAACAAAGTGTTCACACAGAGCAAACTGTTTAAGACCTCTGGGTGCAAGGAACTGTGCCAAACCCAGCACTGTTTAACCTGACAAGTAACCCCTGTTAAAGCTACGTTACAAGAACACAAGTGTACGGATAGAGCTCAGCCATGAATCATAGAGGGATATCTGGTCTGGTTAAACAAAGCATCATTTTAATTTCAAGATTGTATAAATACATATTTACAAAAGGAAGTATCAATCCAAAGAGTTCAACAAATGTACACCTCCCAGGTACTGCCACAGTACAGGGAGATAAATCATGTCAATGCAATCCCACAATTTACAATACCCATTATTCAAAACACATTCTTCATTTAAAGTACCTCATTCAAAGCTGGGAAAGTACAATCTGCCCTGAACAAAATTACATGACAAGAAGGAACTGACCCCTTCATACAGCTTTTCACACAAAAACACACCACTTTCTGCCATTTAAGTGAACACTGCAAGTCAACATTTCACAACCCTACAAAAGGCTTTTTTTCCCAGCTCACAGACTCCTTGGGGTGCACGGATTAAGGACAGCATACTGTATGGATTCAAGGAATGTAGAACCCTGTCAGTCACATTCCCTGTGACCCTGTGTGAGGAGCTGGTGAGGAAACTGCAGATCACATCACTCTACACCCTTCTGGCTAGAGAGACCTGTAGCATCAAACACGTGCTGCCACACAGCATGTGTGTCAGATGCATCCCTTCAGCAGCGTTATACAGTAACTGCTCCCAAATTCACTCTCTGAAATTGTGCAGCAACCTTCCTCAGAAACTGGTTTTACTCTTGCTACACTCTCCATACAGGTAGAAGAGGGATTTCCCATAAATCCAGGGGTTTAAGATGTTACTAAGACTTCCAGGGATGCTTCAGGTAAATAAATAAATGACCAGAGCTGTTTGGAAGTCACTTCCTGCAGTTCCCACAAGGCTTTAGTGATCCCCCCCACTAGGCCAACAGCAATACTTCCTTTAGATGTCCTTCACTGCAACCACCTCAGTGCCATTCAGATCACAGAATGAGGGAGCTGTGGAGCCAAAAGAGCACTGTCTAAACTCTGTAACAGAAGCAGCAATGACCTCCAAGAACAAAACGCAGCAACATCCACAACTGAAACAATCTGAGGCACCAACTGCTGGAGGAACTGGGGGAGTTCTTGGGTAACAGAAGGCTCGGCTTGTGCATGGTTTTTCTGAAGAAGGATGTGCAGCAGTTTTCTCTTAACTCATCCAGTAGTTCTAAACCTGTATGAGAGCCACCTAGGATAGTTATTAATTTAAAGTTTAGGCAAATTAATTCTAACTAATCAACTAAAGAAAGGACTTAAAAGACAAACTGCTAGTGGAAAATCGAATATAAGCTGCTAGGAGTGTTAACCTGAAGTCTTGCACAATTTATTTACTTCTTTTAATTCACACCTCATGTATGCAGCTCCCAAATCTCATGGTCAGAGCAACGTTCCCTGTTGTTCACTACTGTGAATCTGGATTGAGGCTTCTGCTACACTCAGGATGGCGGTTGGTCTTCTTTAGCCACAGTCTGCAGAAGGAAGGAAAGGAACAGAGAACTGTGACTCTTTGCCATCATCCTGGGGCAAGACATTAATTTCTGCCAGAGACTGAGATGGGTCTGGGTTAACTCCCACAGTGGTAAAAGCATTCAGAAGCAAAGTGAGCTACAGGAGAGGCCAAGCCCAGCACAGACTGCCAAGAAATGATCATCAATGTTTGAGCTTCTAATCACACTAAGGACAATAATTCCAGTGAACAGTTGTGAACCTGTGGCAGCCAAACCACTGTCCCCAGAGTAATCTGCATAATAGAGCCAGCCACAGGCAGAACACCTGGTCAAAGCAAAAGTTAAACAACAGCCTGAAGGTGGAATAGGACAGTTGTGCCCACTGCTGCAGGGACCTACAGAAGGGAGAAAGCCCAGCACAGGGGCAGAAAAGGGCCTGTTGGGAAGAGCTGGTTGGAAGGGAGGAAGATTATAAAAGGCAGCAGCTGCCCTTTCAGCTATGTGTGCTGCAGCTGTGCACTGAAGCACAAGGATCAGTGTAACATCCCCTTTTGTGGCTAAGCACAACCTGAAGAGGAAGCAGTGCAATGAAAGGACTAACTTAGCAATGTGTCATCCAAGAGGAGCAGAGTTTATCAAAAGCTATTTCACTCTGTGACCATTTTCACTGCATTCTTTATTTCCAATACACCAGCCACTTCTACGGTATGTGTCCATGAGACCAGCATGAATCAGTGCAAACAGAATTAGATGCCAATAATAAACAAGTTATTCTATGACTTAACTGAGGGGGCTTAAATTCACACAGATGTTAGGTGTGAATAAATAACTCTTGCAGTCTTACCTTTCATGCCTAGGCAAGCAGGAAGTTTATGGACAGAAAGAAAGATGACTGAAGGGTTTCCAAAACCCTGGAAATCATCTTACCTGCCGCAAGAACTGCTTTCCAAGATAGCTGGTCGCCATGCTCGTCAAGTTCTTCCTGCTGCCAACTTTACACCTGATATAACCATAAAGGTTGGCTCCCTGAAGCACCACTCCCATCACAACCACTGCCTGAGACACAGGAAAAAAAAGTCACTAATTTACACCAATGTAATGACACTTATTTACTTGTAAGGTGCAAGAGCTATTCCGGAGTTGAGGAAGTCAACTCACCAGCCATTTCACTTTGAAAGAAAAGAGTGCACTGAAAGCAAATATCACCCAGATCATAGGGCAGGTAATCAGACCTAACCAGAAAATTCGGGACTCTGCTTCCGAGGAGCTTTTACTCCTTTGTGCTGATACCTAGAAACAGAAAGGAAATGGGATTAACAGGCTGCTCTGCTGTATAGATTAAACTGTCATTAAGAACAGCCTAGAATCAACAAGCCCACTGTTTTTTGCCTCCACTCAACAGTACGGGGTGCTTTCAAGATCAATTCCTAAATCACATAAAGATCTTTCTGCAATAGAAGATGTTTCCATTTAAGGGACCCTTTTGTCAATTTGCTATCAGAAATTGTGGAGGCAGAAGCATCAAATCCTCTTGGAATGCTTGGGGCTGAAAGGTTAAGTTTGGGAAACATGACATTTACTGCATGGTTCAGTTACAAAGCTCAGAAACAGCCAAAGGGGTAAAGTTTTCTACCTCCAAATCACTGCACAGAATTCCATTAATCCTAGAACTGGCAGAACTATATATTTGTACTCTTAGGCATTAAAATAGGGTAAATTTTTCTTTACACATACAGACGTCTGACTTGCAACACACTACTGATTTTATAAAGTCTTTACAGAGCAGAAGATCCAAAGCAAGAACTCACTTCTTCCTCTAACAGTTAAAAAGTGCGAACTGAGTTAACAACTTATTTACAGCATCACCTTTCTTCCCTCCTCCAGAATGCTCTAGCTTTTCTAAACTAGCATGGTTTTGAGGAAGAAATGGGCCTGTAGTGAGTGCACATACTCAGCTGGAGAAAGGTTTAGCTTCAAGTCCCTACACCACCACAGACCTCACTAAAGATCTCAGAAACAAGCAAGGATCAAAAGGGTGAACAGACATGTAGTGAGGTGCCTGACAGATGGGATACTAGACCAGCAGCAGTGGCCATCATGAACACAAATGCCAAGCAATAGCCATGAGGAATGCTGTATGTTTCTTCCTACTTCCAATAGTTTTCTGTAGGTGATAAAAGCTATGTCAGCTGTTAGAAGTTTACACCAGTAAACTTTTAGGTTACTGACGGGACACAGGAAGCTTTACTGCATCATGTGTGGAACTTTTAGGTTACTGACATTAAGCCAGATCAACACGTCATGAGGAGTTTTCAATTCACAATCAGAAAGCTCATTCAGCACCCTTCACGGAACAAGTCCTGTGGTTAGAGATCTGCGGCTGGAAGTAAATGTCTGCATTGTGCAATCTGCCATCACAAGTGAAACCTCCAAATTAACAGGGGTTTCATAACGCAGAAATAATCAGAAGAAGAATAAAAAAGAAACTAAAGACTTACCTTCCTGGCTTCAAACACCCAGTGACTTTTACCATCATCATCCACTTGGTTCCACCAGCGAAGGCCAACCATGAGTCGCCCTGTGACATTCTGAAACAGAAGAAAAGCAATGAGCTTTCTATGTTCTGCTTAAAAGAAACCATTTACCAAGGTTCAGCTGTTTAGGCTGCTATTTTCAATGGCACTCATTTACTTCACATTTGGGAAAACAAGATTATAAGGCTCTTATATCCACAACAATTTATTTTCTATTGTACTCCAGTGCAATACAAAATTACTGTGAGGAGTATTTCTGGTGATCTGAAAGTGATCTGATAATGAAATCTGTAAAAGAAAACCTAATCTATGTTCTCCATTTGATTTTCAAAAAGAAATGAGGTACACAGACCTAAAAGTTCTTATTTTGTAACTCTTTGAAATACATCACAGCACTTGAGAATATTTTGGACATTTTCTGCCAAAGGCACAAAGAAGCAACTTTTTGTTGGGCCATAAAGTATCATTGTTCAATTATTCTTATATACTAACAAAAAGGTAACAAAAAACATAAGGAGGAACTTACCTTTACAGCCCAAAAGTCACACGACAAGAGGAGGATAATTGTCACCATGCAGGCGATAAAGCTGCTAGTTAAGAGCTCACAGAGCAGATAGACAACGATCGCACTGACTCGGAAGAATAAGTGGAAAAATGATGCCACGGGATGCCTGGAATGAAGTACAACACAGTCACAGCTCTTTCAGACAAGACAACTGAAGCAGTTCCAGAGAAATGACTTTACCAAGTGATCTCCTGCCAACTCACAGGATAAGGATCAGCATCGTAACACAAACCCAGTGTGCGGTGACTGCTGGGAATATGGGAAATAAACTGACTACAAGATCATCATAAGGAAGACATGTTCTACCTGCCTGATGTTCCACATGCAAACAGAACTGAGGTGGAGGGAGATGAGATACCCAGTGCTCAACATAAGGCAATTTTTACAGTGTGAATTTAAAAAGGCTCTGACAGAGGAAACACCTCTGAAAGGAAGATCACATTTCTCACCATAGCAGACCTGCCCTTCTGCCTCATTTCTGCAATATCCAGGTCAGAAACATGCAGCACAGAGCCAAGCACATGGGTATGGACACTGCTCTGCGGCAGGAGACCAGGCAGAACGAGGAAGGAGGCAGCTGGACCAACTACACCAGGACATGGCAGACACCAGGCCAGCACAAAACATAAGAAAGAGTGGGAAGGAGATAACAAACTAGCCCAGAACCAGCCCTCAACACAGGGAGAACCTCCCATTACACAGGAGATCTGTGTAGATTCCTTCCACACGGGAACACAGACACATATTAAACGTGAGGGCACCCAAGAGCATGAAGGCACAAATGTACACATTCCAACTGAGCTTCTGGAACTGGCCCTCTCACTCACCCAGAAATTATTCTCTGTTACTGCCAAAAAACTTATTCCAAATAGGAGACATATGGCATAATCTGATATAACGTGGCAGCCCCTCCTTCCTTGTGCTTCTGCCTAGAGCTCATCTGAAAATTCCACAGCCACTAACCTTATTTTGGACTTTTTTGATCTCCTGGATACATCATCATCTGCATCAAAGAGAGACACATCTTCAATGTCATCACTGCTATCCTGAAGCAGGGAAGAGACACAAGGAGTTACATGAGGAAAGAGTAAGTTTTCAGCTTCAAGCCGGTACAGTTTTGATTACCCGGAACATCACAACACCACCTTCAGATCAAGATCAATTCGGGAAGAACACGAAGATTCATCCACATACAAAACAATGCAGCATTAAATGTTCTGATTTCCTCTTTGTGAAAGCTACAGAAGCTCTCAGTGTGAGACCCAGCATACTTTACAGAACCGGACAGTTAACGCTATAATCTAAGGTCTTTTATTCCTCATTTCTGTTAGACGACGTGTTACCGTGTACAAAGCTATTCCTATGGCAGCCAACAGACTCGCATCACCCTAGGGAACGCACTGGGCCAGCCACAGAACCGGTCGGTTTCACACCGACAGCCCCAGCCCTGCCTGGGCTCTCCCCCTGCCCCGCACCTTCCAGCCGGCACCGCTAAGGGCAGCGCTGGAGAACACCCCTCCCCCCTCCAGGCCCTCATAACCCCTCCGGCCGTTTCTAACCGACTCACGACCGACTCTCTGCGGTGTTCCGGCTCCACAGGCCTGTGACAGCAGAAAGCACCGCTGTACCTCGTAACACCGGTGCGCGGCCGCTACCGCCCCGCTCCTACTGCCCTAGGCCCCAGCCCCAGGCCCCGCACGGCCGCGGTCCCCCCTGCGCTAGGCCCCAAGCCGCGACCACAGCCCCTCACCTGCCGTAACATGGCCGGAGCGCCCTCACTTCCGCCTGCCTTGCCGCGTCACCGCGGAGGAGCCAATCGCGGCAGGCCCCGCCCCCTTCACGCGTGCGCGCTGGTGGGGCGGAGCGCGGGACGTGGCTGCTGTAGGCCCAGCCTGCTCGCTGTGGAGGCGATAATGGCGGATGAGTGCTCTGTCAGGTTCCAGCCATTTCCCTTGTGCTGTCCCTACAGGCTCTTGTCCCAAGGCCCTGTCCAGGTTTCCTGCAGCCCCTTTAGGCACTGGAGCTGCTCTGAGGTCTCCCCTTCAGGAGCCTTCTCTTGTCCAGGCTGACCCAGCCCAGCTCCCTCAGCCTGGCTCCAGCCCATGCAGTATCCCCATGGCCTCCTCTGGTTCTGGCACAGGTCAAAACCAAACAAAACCAGCTATATATTCTAGAAAAAGTGCTGGAAAAGGCTCAAAAGAGAGCAGTATTTGTAGAACAAGGGAAGACTGAGCAACCACGCTGGAAATAGAGGGGATTATACATTATGAAGGAAAGGCACAGAGCCCCTGAGAAACCCACAAGTTCACAACACCCTGGTCTTATGGTTGCCCATTGCAGCCATCGGCAAGGCGCAGGGATCCATCAGTGGCTGAAGGTCTCTGAGAAAACCCATCTGCAGACAGCTCATCCCAAACACGCTGCCTGGCAGGGTATGTACATGAGCAGTTCAGGACACATTCATTAGGGAAGGAATGAGTGACTTCACACAACGTTAAGAAAGGAAGGTGGTGGCAAAGTTAACCATATGGTTATTCCTTCCAGTTGTTGTTCCATCTGTTCTGGCGAGCACAGGGGAACAAAGAGGTTGCCGTGCAATGAGGGACAACATTGCTTTATCACTCGCCGCCTGTTTGAAGGAGCATGACTTGATCCTGGTTGAAGCAAAAAGGGTCTCTCCCTTTCGGGATCACTCTTACCATAGCTGGTTCCAGCTATAACTGCTTGCTGGGTGGATGGGGCCACTGATGTATTCCTGAAGGACTATGTATTTAACTCGGATTTAATGATTCTGGGGACTAGCCCATCCCTTGGTGTATCCATATGCAATCCTTGCTTAAGTCAGCATGCGATTTCACAGGCAATCCAAAGCTATTACTGATAAATACAATGCCATTTAAACACTTAATTTGCTTTTTATGGCCCTGCTGTCGCCTCTTTTTACAACTCTGTGGCTCCTTCACATTGTGACCTGTCAAGGCACCGTTCCTCTGCTGAAATACAAACATTTCTAGCTATAACCAACACTCTCAAAGCATATTTAATTCAGAAGCACCTGTCGAGCTATACACAAAATCTCTGTGACATTAATACGATATCGTCACATCAGGATAATGTTATCTAAACTTTGTGGATGACAAGCACAACATTAACAGCACCTAGCTACAAAACTCATATTGACGCTACCATGCCATTGCTCAGCCTGGCTTGATGCCTGTTTGGAGGTGCATCCTGCACAAGAGCAACGCTGCCCACCGCAGCCTCAGGCTGTCTTCTCTGCACACCCAAAGGCCATGCACACAGAAAGGTCAGTTTAATTCAGAAGTCAATTAATACAGAATAAAACCACCTCTTAATTACCTTCATAAGTGACTTCATGTACCATGTATGACATCTTCCCAGATGTTAATTCCTTTCCAATGAATCTCTGATGCCCAGCTTCTGGCTTTGCATTCCCTGTGCCAAGCTAAAGCAGATCAGAGAAGGTCTTGGTCCAGTTCTGCCTCTGTAGATGGTTTTCACTCTGTTGGCTGTAGTATGTCACAAGAGCCAGAGAACCCATGCTTGCAGGCAGATGCTGATTTATTGACTCCAAATAAGAAGATGACACTTTAATCCTCCTCATTTCAGCACAACTAAAAAGGCATCAGCCTTTCCATGATGTTTTTCCATCAGGCTTCTGTATTAGGTGCTTTTTTCCAGAGGGGTTATGCCAAAGAGCCTCTGGCTGCAGCTGTGCTGGGCTAAGCCTGATTTCTTGTGAGAAAGTGCCATCCCGTGGCTAAGAGTGAAATCCTTGCTGCTTTCAGTATGAAAACTAACATAAGGCAAAGCCACCCCTGACAACTTATTGTCCACTGTCAGCAAGGTCTGGCTTAATCCCAGAGTTTAGGAGTTGAAAATGACATTAAAATAAGCAAACCAAAACTAACCAGACTATAATCTCAATCCAGAACTGCTGCAGAAAGCACCCTTCGCTTACCTGTGAGCAGGATTGTCCTCAAGAGGATAACAGAGAATGTTCTGCTGCACTGGCCCATATATTCACAGTTGGACAACTAGAAAGGTGTTTGTCTTCCCAACTCAAGCCAATTTCATTAGTGGAAATCAAGCATATTAAGGCATTTTATCCATAAAACCAGAGAAATTAAAGTAATGGTTTCTAATTTAATACAAATTAAGCTGCTGTCCAGCCAGGTGGCCCCAGCACATCCAGGTGCCTGGGGCTGTTCCTCCCCCCAGGGGCAGAACTTGGCATTTCCCCTTGTTGAACTGCACCAGATCTCTCAGCCCACCCCTCTAGGTCCCTGTAGGCAGCAGCGACAAGCTGGTGCATCAGCCCTCCCTCCCAGTTCAGCGTCATCAGCGTCACTGTCATCCATATCATCACTTAAAGATGTTAAAATCAGGCCCAGTATCAACCCCTATACTACACCACTAGTTACTGGCCTCCCAGTAGACTAATGCTGAGGTCACCACCCTCTCAGATCAACTCCTCAGCCAGTTTTCAGTCCACACTTCCTCACCTTATAAATCTAATCAATGCACATGAACTCCAATAAGATTTTTGTTACTATTAGTCAGAGTTGCAGCATATGTTGAGCTGTATTCACATCAAACAGTGCTGTGCTTGCAGTAGCAGCAGGTCTAGCATATAGGAGAGGACTCAGTCCTTTCACTGCCTTGAGAAATAGCTGAATGTACCAATAACATTGGAAAAACTTACACTGGAGATAATCCCTTAAACTCAAAGAAATGTATTAAACCCAAGTTCAGGAGCAGGTATTTTCCCCTCCCCAGTGAAAGAGTCTATAGGTAAGCCTTTAATTTTCCTTAACCAGGCCTTCTTGCGTGCTCTTTCCTGTTCTTCTCTGAGCTTTTCCTGGTGTGCCTGATACTGTGCTACAGCGGCTGCCTCATACGCCTCCTTCTGTTTCACTGTCAGAAGCCTGAACTCCCCATCACTCCGGGAGGGGCTTGCAGCATATGAACAGAAAGGCTTTCTTCTCATCGAAAATGCTTCGTTTTTCATTTGTGCAATGATCACACGTGTTGATTTGATCAGTTGAGAGGAAGCCGCAGAGGGACTGGCGACGTGAACCTCTTCTTCTGCGAAAGAAATGGCTTTGCCATGACCACTGTGAGCTTTCTTTTCCTGCAGCAAATCACGAGTCTTGGGGCGTACCACAGAAGGAGCAGGGATGGAGGATTTCACAGTGGGTCCGTACAAAGAGTTTTTCAGCTTGAGCTGCAGCATTTTGGTTTCAAAGGGGACAGAAATTCTTTTCACAGCCAGGGAATCACTGTGCTGTCTTGCACATTGGAGCAGCACTGTCTGATCCTGTTCGGGTGGCAGAGGAGTTTTGTATTTCTGTACCTTTGCAGGGTACTGATGCTCTAGAGGAGGTTCCCATGCTTCTCTGACTTTCACATCATTCTCAGTGCTGGGGCTGTCCAGGGCTGGCTTGCAGGTGTTCTGTAGCGTGCTGACCCTTAAGAGGAACTTGTCAAGGGACATTGTACGTCTTGAGTCTCTTTTCCTTCCATGCTGCAAAGTAGCTTCTGCCTTGTCAGAGCCATGTTCAGATTTGCCATCTGTTTCCAAAAACAAAACAATACATTTGGAGTTGAGGATGGGTTTTGTGATCATTGTTGGCAGGGTAATACTCAAAGTAAGACCAGGAATGAGTGCTGAATTGACCTGCATATGGACAGTCCAAGTTTATCTACAGAACAGCCAGCATAGGAAGCTACAAGCCAATGGTACCCATTTCAGTTAACTCATCCTTGGCCTCACTAGTAACACTGCCAGAGATAATTCTGTCTCAATTAACTGAAAAGTGTTCCTTGTCAGAGCCTGTATAGGGCAAACTGAAGTCAGACTCTGTAACATACATTGCACTTTGTGGCTAGGTCAGTATCCATCTTGTTAGAAACAATGGTTTCTGAAAGGAATGAGGTCCCTCACCACCTCTTTCCATGCACCCCTTCCTTGTCCTACACTCTGCTTTGGGAAAAGGCTTCACAACAAGTCAGTTCCCAGTAGAAATCTTTGGCATAGCCAGCATCTGAGAACCACTTGAACTTAGTACTCAGAGATGCATTTGGATTTGAAATCACAAGACATGCTTCATAGCCTGACTTTGCTCCCTCAAGGGATAGAGGGAGGGAGCTGTGCTTTATGACAGACACATCAAGATGGGTAGTGCAATTATGCCCTTGACTAAGAACCAGATGAGGATTGCAACACAGAGTAAGACACTTAGTCCCATGGCCTTGCCATAGCAATTCATTTGTCACTTTGCAGTGTCACATTGTTTGTGTATCATTGCTTTGCAGTACAACTGTGTTTTTCCAGACTGATCAGCTGAAACTTCTGCCCTCTAGGAATGTGTTTTAGAGAGCATTAAGTTACAGTGCAGAAAGGCAGAATACAGCACAACAAGCTAATGAAAATCACTGCTTGCTCCTCATTCACAGGATTTAGAACTGTTTAATCTGCACATACATATGACCCTGCAGCTTAGTTACAAACACCAGGAGCTTGGGGTTAGGGACTTACAATTGGTACAGGTACCAGTTGATACCAGAGGCTGTGTTAGAGATCCCAACAGATTCTAAATCTGAAACCTGAGGAAAAACTACCTTAAGGAGATACATGCCACATGCCACATGCCACATGCCACAGACTGATCTCAGGACTATTTCAAGTTTCAGGTTGCAGCATTTTGGTAGCTGAGACAATTTACATACAGGTTTTTTTAAACCTGTTTTCTGAGTTACTGCTATTGATTGAACACCAACTACTTGAAAAAGTTTCGTGCAGAATTCTCCTACACCTGATAAAGCAATCAAAATAGAATAAAGATACAACAAAAACCCCTAGATAATGGAGAGCAAAGCCTTACAGCTAGAGCTTAGAGCCTCTGTTTATTTGCTTGGTCTAAAGCAGCTTCTGTAGGAAGCTTCTGTTCTTACCATCATCTGCCAGGATCCTTGCAGAATATTCTCTCTCTGACTTTTCCAGGGCTTCTGTGGTGCAAGAGATGAAAAGCTTTTTCTGCTGCTCTGCCTGAATGTGAAAAGGCTGCTGTTGCTGGTGAGCTGCTGGTGTCATCCGTTCATACCAGGGAGCTAGAAAACAGATGAGTAAGTCATCTCTAAACTCTGCTGATGTGAAACTTATTTAATGAAATCAACATAACTGATGGGATGTCAAGGCTTCGATTACTGCTTTGCCTCTTATCACAGCTTCGCCTCTTATCACAGTTTCTAAAGGTGTAGGTATTAGAAAAAATCCAAAGATATTTGATGAGCAGAAAACCACACCATCCAAAGATGGCAGCAAACAGGGATTTTAAAGAATATTATGTATACACAACCCATAATATTTGCCACTAAAATTAAAATACAGTGCAGTCCCTGTTTGTTTCCTATTTCTACAAACTGTGCATCTTTTACCAAGTCGAGCTGCACCAATGAGGTTAACAGCTGATGGCTTTAAAAGCATGAAAACTTTAACCCATCAGTTTATCTGCAATGTACAGCTTGTAGAGGTGAAAGATTTGTGATCCATCCTGTATTAACTAACTCTGATTTGAAAATAAAGGACTTATATAATTGTTATAATTTAAAAGGTGTATGTTTACGTGCAGTTGCAGTTCCTGGTGATGGCAGATCCCAAATGCAGGTGTGCTATGACTTTCTAAAGTCTGTATTAATAAAGAATTCAAGCACTGAATCAGCAGCATGTTTCCATGCACACCAGCTGTAAGAACGAATACTACTGAAATCTCTATTACTCAGTTGGAAAACGACACTGCCTGTTTTGACAAACATGTTGAATTTATAGCAGACCTTTCTCAAAAGGCACAAAGGTTTTACAAAAGCCTAAAATCAACAGAACCATGGAAACGCACCAGCACATCTACCACACTGCACTTCAAGAAAAGCAGAGTATTAGGATGAAGGCAGTGACTATTTGAAATGATTTCTAACTAACTCATTTTAGAGAATAGCAGTGTATTGCAGAGGCTGTGTGTAATACTTAGAGATGTTCCAGAGCTTTTTGGTGGCTGGAAGTAATGCAGATCAAGGTCTGTTCTCTCCCAGGAAGGTCGGTGCTGCTGACTGACGCTGCGGCGCCTCACTCGCTGAACAGATTTCCTGCGTGAAGTCCCTTTGTCCTGCTTTTTCTTCCCCACCACCTTCCTGTCAGCATCTAAGGTATAGTCCCACCTGGTCTCCTCAAACTCAAGCAGCAACAGTTTACTTGATGAATTGATCACCATCCTGGAGAAGGGAAGGAAAACCCATAAGAACACAGATAACATTAACAGAGCAGTTACTACCTAAGGGTCCCATTTGCTTCTGTGCAATTCAAAACCCTTAACCAGATCCAAGACAGCCATCACTCTTCTAAGAGAGCAATAGCAATTAGTCCCAGCAGTCAGATGCTGTACGCTTTTAACTCATGTTTTGTATGAGCTCCGTGGGGCTCTTTTCATTCCCCTTTATGGCAAAATTAGTTTTAAAATAATGAGGATGAAAATTGCCAACAGCAAACTGAGCTAGATCAGTGCGATGCCAAAAGAAACTGAGGATGCCATGTCATTAGGGACATTTAAACCTAAATTGGAGGGGTGTACTGGGTCTGGTTGGGATGGAGTTAGTTTTCTTCATAGCAGCCCATATATTGCTGTGGTTTAGAATCATGACCAAAACAGCATTGATGACACACCAGAGTTCTAGTTATAGCTTACACAGAAGCTGGGAACTCCCTTTAAGTTTAGAGGTCAAGAAGTGAAAGAACCTGGAAGGATTTTCTATTATTGCCTTTTAAAGAGGCAGTAGGTCAGGTACAGGCAAAGGCTCTGTCAAGCCTTGGCTTGATTCTCCTACCTCTTAAATCTGGGCTCAGAGTTAGGCTTTACAGTTGCATCTGTATTGCAAGTTTTATAGAAACAGGAAATGTACATTGCTGAGTGGACTAAGAAAATCTCTTTTCAGCCATTGTTATAAAACCCAGATTATTAAAGCAGTCAGTAAGCAGCAAACCCCTTTAAAACTTACTTGTGAGAAGGACAGTAAAAGGAAAAAATACAGAACTCTTTATATTAAAATGTAATCTACCTAATTTGGTTCAGAGACTGGTGGAACAGTTGTCACCAACCTGTTTCCTCCAATACAGAAAGAAGATATGGGATCCCCTTTGGTATTGGCCACCAACACTTTCAGGCAGATTCCAGTCAAGTAGTTAAATATACGGATCTTTCCATCAGCACAGCCAGTGAGGACTCTGAGATAGAGGAACTCCAGAGACAGGACTTCACTGAAAAACACAGCACATCACCATCCTTTCACAAGGAGACACCATCAAATACCTCTTGTCTTGGAGGAGATGCAAAGGTCTGCCTCCATCAACAAGCTAAACAGAGGAGCTGATAATGATATATAAGAGGTCTAATAGTGAAGTCCTTCATAATCAGTCCAAACCAACCAAACCATCATACCCTCATAGCAACCAGTACAGTTACAGCCATCTGCTGCATTTCAGATTTCATTTTTATGTCCAGGAAAGTAAATGATAGTGTGATAAGCAGTTGTATACAGGTTGAGATCCTCAAAATAGTGGACTATTTTGCCTTAGTTAACAGCTAATTCAGTCTTAAGTCATCCCTGCTTGTGAGCAAGTGATTGTGTATTTGCATTTTAGGTTGTTATAAGTCTTAACTGACACATGCTGACACATGTATGCCTGACACTGGTTTTAAGATGAAGACTACTGAAAGCAAGGATATTTCAAATACTAGGACTGATAGTTAAGACATTTTGTGTTCCTAGAAGGGAACAAATTTAGTAGACTGTTGAATACAACTTGAAACACATCTGATTCCTACTTAGGGTGGCGGAAAGCTACGAGGCATCTCTTAAGTTTTCCCAACATGCTCCATCCCAGGACATATCCATCGGTGCTTCCTGTGACTAGATGCCACTGATCAAAGGACAAGCACTTAACTGGGCCTTGGTGCCCCTCCAATATCTGCAAAGAAACAGAAATAGGTGCAATACTGTCAGCAATCTGGATTTAAGTATACCAAGAAAAAACAGCCTTATATACTGCATTGTAGTTTTATTGGGTGTTATACCAATACACCCTATGGATAACTGTGTTAGTTTTATAGTCGCTCATAAGAAGCGTTCTGGGCTTGCTAGCATGGAATTAACATTAATTTTCTGTCTTTATTACATTAAATAGATGTTAATGCACTGAGACCTTTGTGATCTCTTGATTGTTAACACCGGAGAAATGAGAGTGGACTGCCCTGGATATAGTGGAATGGGCAGGTGCAAGCTTAGCTCAGCCAGAGTTGGGATATCTTGCAATTTGCAACTCTTCCCCACATGTAGAAAGAGCTTCACTCCTCTCAGATGTGGACTAATACTTATTCTGGACACATGCTAAAGTAATTAGCAGCCTCTACCCTCAATCTTCCCATTGCAGAGCATCTATCCAGCTGCTTCAGCATTATAAACTGGTTCTGAGAGCAAATCTCATGCTTTGGGCTAACCCATCATACCTCCAACCCCAAGAGCTGTTAGACAAGCCCTCCCACCCTCTTCCCAGGTTCTGAATGTCTCTACATGAGCAGAGATTAATGTATCTTCACAGAACAAGCAATTATGGGAGTTCAGCAAAGCAAATCCAACCCTGGGTTAAAACTGACTGTTTGCTTGCAAGTAGTTCTGCAGTTCATGGATAGTTCTATCAGTTTATGAAATTCCCAAACCCAAAAGCAGCCTAAAGCATTTGGCAAAAGCAAAAGGCTATGATAAACTAGCAGAGAAGATTTTTGACCATTTAGCACAAAATTATGCACCTAAGAAGAAACTTACTTTGATCAGAGCACCAGTATCAGCACTCCAGACCTTCACCAGCCCTCGGTCAGACCCGCTGACAATATAGGTGCCATTCATTTTAACCACCCCAACACCACTATTGTGCTTCAGAGTCTTGAGACATTTCTCACTCTTCAGGCTCCACACTGTTAGGGACAAAGGGGAAAAATATTAGATACATATGCCCGATGATAAGTTTTGCTGAGTACAACGTGAATTAAAAGATACTGTTGGAATTACAGCTACACCTTGTAGCTGCAGATCTGCATGGAGCCAAGTATTGACTTAAAAAAATATAATTGCACGGCATAAGCATTTTAAATGCAAAGTTCAGCAAAATAACACAACTTTTTCATCCTTACTCTATAAGCAAAACAGCTGGCAAAGCTGAAAGTTAATATTACTTGCCCAAAAGATGGTCTAGCCCTATAGCCACAGAACTGAAGCAGAAACAATGAGGATTTATTCAATGACACAGTCAGTGACCTTGTGTGAGCCTATGTCCACAGCTTAGGCTGTTCTGGAAGGAAGAATGAGGCACTAAAATTGACCCTCTGATTTATAGGTTTAGTTTCATACTCACACACTGCATGTGTCACACTCCTCACACCTCCCATGTACTCTGCCCCTTGTTTGCTGCTGTTTACTTTTGGCTGGGAAGCTCCTAGTCTTGGCTCTCACCTTTCACCATTGCATCCTTAGCTCCTGACACAAACTGCTCTTCATGTAAATCCAAGCAAGTGATTGTCCCACAGTGGCCATGGAAGGTTTTCACACAAGTACCACTGTATAGATTCCAGCACCTACAAAGGACCAACCAAAAAGGGAATACGGTAATTAACAGCTAATTCATCTTATTAATTATTTCCTATTTGATAGGCCCAGCTCTTCTTCCATAAACACAGGATTAAAATCAGGAGTCATTTTACCAATGTATCAGAGGATTTGGAATGATCAATTCAGGCTTAACATTAAGTTTTTACCCATATACTGTGTTCTTCAGCCTCTAAACAGCTTGGAAACACGGGGCTAGTTTTCAGCTTTGGCATGATTACATTCAATTAACCTTAAAGAGTAGATCTTTACAAGATAAGGTTGTTTATTTACTGCCTGGTGCCAAGATGATTGCTATTGACTTTACCTAGAGAGCTCAAACCCAAGCTCACACAAACAGCCCTTTTGGAGCAGGGAGGACAGAGCCTGAATGGGTGTAAACCCTTCTGTTAAATGCTGCCTTTGCTGAAGCTGTGTAATTGCCATACAGAACCAGACAACCTACTGCTTTGCTTTTCACCCCTCATCATAATACTGTCAGGATTTAGTGATAAATGTGAGAGCTGATCATCTCCAGCCCTTGTTTCCGAGTGCAATACCTGTAAAGAAGCAGCTGTACATCAGGTACCAGGGTGTTGAGCCTGCTTAGCACTTCTGGAATGGCATGGAGAAACCCAGCCTCCCTGAACTTGATGCTGACATTAGCAAGGCCAGAATCTCCCTACAAGGGTTAATTTAAAACATATCTGGTATTTTAAGGTACTTTAAGAAAGCCCATGCTTCCCTGTATTTTCCTTTCTTATCACTCGGTATTGGGTGGAGTAGGGAAATGGAAGCTGTGCTGTGTGAGTGGGACATGTGTTTCTATATGTACCATCCTTTCTTCATTACTCTGATGAAAAGTGGTGGAAAGAGAATTCCTAAAGACTGGAGCAGGAGGATTAAAGTTTCACATTTCCTAGCCCAAGGGCTGGTGCCCCATGACACAGTCCCAGCATTGCTCACCTGATGCTGAGATCGAAGCTTGCACTGAGAAGAAACCCCTTCTTCTCATCGAGATAGAGTGCTTTGATGGTCCCGGCATGGCCAGACAGCAGAGGAGGCAGTTCCTTTATTCCTGGCATTCCAAGAAACCTCACTTTTCGATCTGCAGAGGCAACAGCTACCAAGTTTCCACCAGTGTAGTGGATTACTCTGCTTTGGTCTGATCTGGATAAGAAACAGTGACTGAGATGAGTACAAAAGATCTAGAACTGATGCTTAGCGGTCCTCATTGAACAACCCAATGGACAAGACACTTAAGTGGTGTATCTTTTGCGGGCACAACAACCAAGGTTCCTAGTTTTGCATACCCAAGTTTGCATCCAGAGGATGGGCTTAAAGAAGGGAGAGGGCTCTTCCTGGCCCCATATCCCTTGTGATACACTGTAAATCACTAACACTTCTGGTATCTGCATAAAAACCTGGATTTGACACTTAGGACTTGTTAACACTGATGCTAAGAGACCCTTTTCCAACCATCCATTCTCACAGAAGGGTCACAGGAATGGGACAGGTTTTCAGAAACTGCTGTTCAGCCCTACAGCCAGGCAGTTTACTCACTGGTCCATGAGGATACGAATATTGTAGGAGCCACAGAAGACATTTCTCTCTTCCAGCTGGATTGTGTCAGTTTTCAGACCATTATAGGTTTCCTGCAGATTGCTTCCCTTCTCCTAATGAAAAGGAAAATAGCAGAGTAACTCAGGGAAGAGGAATGCAATATTATCCATAGTATTAAACATACCAGCTTGTCCATACTGTAGTGATGAGACCAGAGACAGAAAGTGTTGGTAAGGAACACCCAGAGTGCACAAACGTCTGGTTAGGGCAGAAAGAAGGATTGTTCCCATGCCATGGTCTGTGGCAAAAGAGGAAGACCCAACTGCTGCACCCTTTATTCTTTGGGGAAAAGGCTGCATCCTTACGATGCTGTCCAGCTGTGCCAGCACCCCATCTTTGAGGCTGTGCACTGGGGGATGCATTAGGAGAAGGCAGGAGTTCAGGGATGCAAGAAGGTGCTGAGCAAGCACTGGTCCTTATGAATTGCTCGTGATGGGACAAACCAGGAGCAGGAGCTGGAGGAGAGCAAAGCAACTCCAAATCCACTGTCCTGTCTTCCACCACCTTCCTCCCAAATACAGAAGTGCAGGATCCACAGAAGACCAACAACTTCCAACATACCTTCATTTTACTTTGCCGATCAGTGCTTTCGGCTTCAATGACACCACCCTCTTCATTTAACTGTGGAATTGCCACTCTGACTATTTTAGCATAGTTTGAAACAGCTCCTCTTGGGCGCAAGCCCTGGGATAAACCAGCAGAGACAACACGGTTACTGCAGAGCCCATGTACGCAATGAATGATACTCATGTCAGTGCTTCCGTTGGATGCTACATGCAAAGCAGATCTGCATACACTGGCTTGTTGCTGTTGTGTAAGAGACCTGGCTTGCATTCACCACTTTGTTGGTAGGTTTAACTTCTGGGTAAAAGAATTACTTTCCTTTTGTCTCTAAACTCTAGTCTTAAGCTTTTAATAAGCTGCACCGCGCCTTTGGTGAGCACTCAGTTGATTCAGAATCCAAACCCACTGAGATGAGAGGCTCTCAAATCACCTTTATCAATATTTAAGGCTCATTTTTACTGTGCAAAACCTTCCATTCAGCCTTCTTTTAAGGCTAGCACAGAGCTGAGATTTCTGTGGTCTCTAGGGGTTTACCATCACACTTAGCTCGGTGTGTGGCAGGACTGTTCTAAGCAGGACAAGCCTTTCCTAAAAGTTCTGCTTTATTTTGTCCCAACCACCAGCTCTGACTTCTCACAAGGAAACCTAGCATCCCAGATTCCTATGGGGAGCAAATAAAGCTAACTTTTGAGGTGCCTCAGGGAGCCATTGTAGCTCTGTCCAGTTTACACTAG